CGAGATTTTCCGCAGCTGAAAGATCTCACATGTTTCTGACAGCTGAAAATGTCATAAAACGTGAAATTATACAGATTCCTCTTGCGATTCATCATCGTTCTTAACGCATACAATGCGTTATCGTCTGCGAAAGTGGGCACGTTGAGTACTAACCAGTAATTAAAGTAACTAGTATTTCCATCTCCTATCTTGCATTGTTAATTGCTCCTTTACATTGCTCTTCTTTTCAACAGCTTTACGCTATCAATTTTCAGCATTACGTGTATAGTTTCAACGTAGTTTATAGTTGATCAATTTGCGCAGGAAAGCAGTGGATGTTCCCTTTAGAAAATTTCAAATTTCTTTTACTGTAACCATAACCGTGAGAGGTCTTTTGTTTTAAATCATAACAATTTCGAGCGCATATCTTCAAATAACAGTATCTGAAATTTCATTTTGATTGGTTGAGTGAATAGGAAGGACGCTAGGGGTTTATATATGGGGCAAGCATTTTTATGACTACACACTATATAATGACTATTACCTATGATGAATATATAATTAATAATATAATGAATATATAATTAATATTTCCTTAGTGTTTCCTGGTTCAGAACAGTCATTTACGAATTTTCTAATGATATTAAACTTTTCTGGATGAGCTCAGCGTACTTTTGAATAATCACAAGCAGTAAATTTCGCATCATCAATTTGAAGTATTTGATAAACCTTAAATCTGCATTTAGTATCATAAATCTGAATTGTATTAATTAAAAATGTTCATTTATTAATTAATAGTAAATAATTAGCTTTTATTAACATAATTATTTTTCATTTTTTTAAATTTAGTATAAACACTAAAACTGAAACTACGAATGATTAATCTTATCTGAATTTAGAGCTCGCAAATGACTTGTATTGACGTATATAGCGGGAATACTTCAAGTGAAACCATCAAATACGTATATGTTTCCTGTGAAAATGTACAGGTTTAATAAATTTGTTTAAGTAGTTAAACATCTAATAATTAAACTGGAAAAACTATTTTTTCCCTCAAGTATTCCTTAGTGCAAACAAAATCCAATTTTTACATTCGCTTTTAATTTTTACGTTATAACTAGAATATAATTTTCCTACAAAGCGAAAAATTAGGATTGTTTTTGAAGTTTCTTAAAGATGTCATATTTTCAGCACGCTATAAATTATAAATACCGACAGTATTTATCTAATTCTAATGCTCACTGTCACAGAAAAATCTGAAATTTTAATTTTAGCAGATCGTTCCGCAATATCTAGTGAAAACAAAATCAGTTCTTTTACCTGTAATCGAATATGCTAAGTTATTTGAATATGACAAACATGACGATTTATCTGTCTCGGAAAATGGAAACTTTTGTGGAGGACTCTAAGAGAAATGGCTCATATTCTTTTTACAGATGACGAAAATTATGAAATCCAATAATGCAGCCTGTTCTTTCTCCAGCGATCAAATCCGAGTCGAACTACAGCATTCAACGGTTTTAACCAGTGCCGATAATCAATCCCAGCAGCATACTGGTGATTTTTAACGTGAATCTGAGTTGTTTAAAGGCTATAAAAGATAGGCATATTGACTACAATAAAGTTGTGCAATGTACTTCTCTATAACAATAATAGGAAACACTAGATTTAGTACATCTCTTCGGCAAAAAATAAAGAAGTTATGATTCTATGCCATTGCTTTAAATTCTTATAAGGATAAAAACTGCAGTTTTTTCCCTTAATTGTTCAAATGAATTTAATTACTGAGATCTCTGAAATAAACACATCTAGGTTTTAAGGTAACTTTTGATTGACGAATATTTTTTTAAAAAGCTGTTTTATTTATAGAATTATCTAATAGCAGACATTGTTATTTATATTATGAAACTACCCGCAATAGAAACACTAGTTTGGTTGCCTGTTATTCTGTGTCAATGATTCAAAGGCACAAGTAGAGCTTTTTTAACACATAATTAAAAAAGCATTCTTTTTGCAACTTTTGATGAGCTACTATGCTTTAATTTTAATCTCCTTCTATTTTGCTTCTAAAGAGGATGAATCTGTGCCTGATTGCCTTAGAAATCGACAAAATTTCATTCAAAACCTACGCTAAATATGTTTTTATACCTAATTTCAAATTTTAAATTGCTATGTTTCTCTTCTGTCTGATATTATATTTTAAGTTCAAAACAAAAGAACTGCGTCCTCTCGTTGGAGGTATTATTTCAAAATATATGTAATAATACACAATATCTTTAGTATTCCCGCTGAACATGTAAAAGCTGCTCTTAAGTGACTCTGAAAATCATGTGGACAGTCATATGAAATTTCTCAAAAAAGATTCCGTTTTGTAGAAAAGAGATGAAGTTTACTAATCAAGATATATTTGATTCTAGACTGTTTAACTGATTATTGTATTGTAAATTAGATAAAACTTTTATAGCTTATAAAAAGAATTATAGCTTTATAGAAAAGAGGCAACATTGTCCACAGGAAAAAAGTATTTATATTACCGGAAAAGTAGGAAATTTGGCATTCTATAGAATACCTAGGCATTTTATAGAAAGCCCAAAACTAGCCGGCAGTGTGGCAATGTATGAAATGATTAAACATTTCATAAATTGCCTAGACATTCTATAGAATGCCAAACAACATACCAGCAAAATACGAAATGAATCTCCATACAATGCCTAGGGAAAGCATATAATAATTCGTGCAATATATTGGCAGTTGTAATAACTGTGATAGAAGATAGTTTATACTGACTCTACGGGATCACGGTTCATTTATGTTTCGCTTAAAATTGAAGGCATTCCTGAACGCGAAATTCCTCTATCGTCAAATACATTTGGTCAGTCCAGTGGAAGTGGTTAAAGATTCGTCAATTGTATGAGTAAAACAAAGTACTGAAATATGAAATGTCTTTGTGTGAAAAAAGTAACGAAGTGACTTCAAAATGTCATTCAAGCCCACCATGTTGCAATAAACAGATTAATTTTAATTTACTACTTTGTGTATGAAAGTTTTGATTTCATTAATAAGAAAGGCATAAATTTTGTTTCATACAACTTTATTTTGTGTGTGTGTGTGTGTGCGTGTATTTTGAGTAAACGTTATTTAATGGCACTCTTTCATTACGATTTCGAAATAACATTTGTATTTTTGAGAAATGAACGTCTTTTGTAACAGCCTTATCAGGATTTTTTTCCATACTTTGCTTAAAGAGCATTTCATTCTATATTGCATTCTGTAAAATGCCTAGTTATTCTATAGAATGCCGGCCTTTCATACCTTGCCTGTAACATTTATATTATGTGACTTTCGAATTCTTCATGCTAAACACAAAAGTCTGTACTGTGTCACAATATTGTTAATGTGTAGTTATACTTCGTTTACCCTTTCAATAAGAATCAGAATTTTAAGGTGAAAGTAATATCTTAAATATTTTTTAAATTGGTTTAGGGATTAAAGTTACAAATATATATTTACAGGCAATATATATTAACACATACGAAAATAAATTCAAGAAAGACATATATGTAATATTAATGAAACTCGTCAGAATTTATTTATTACTGAAATAATCATAATCAAAATTTAAACCAGTAAATAAGTTTAAATGACAGCATAAGAAGCATCAATTGTCTACAAATTTACACACGTGAAGAACAAAGAGGTTTACCATCTAAAAGCAGGTGCAAATCAAGAACTGTAAAACTGTAGTTACGGTTCAGATAAATACGCTTCAAGCTTTAAATTTCATTTATCACATCTGAACAAATAGCGATACGTACGGTATCGTTTCTCATTCCTTTCACGTGTTTGAAATTGAATACTATAATCTGTTTCATGATTACGTTTGAAAATTGGTCAATATGCCCCGAATTTACTTTCGTATTATTCAGTCATGTGGTATTATTTAAATGAAGTTTAATAAATAAAAAAAAATTATAAATTCAATTAAAAATAAACGGTCGCAATGATTTTGCATTAAAAATTCCAGATACGAAATTTTTGTTATTTTATACAAATTATTTTTAAGCAACTTTTCACATATTGGCGAAAGAATGCATTTAAAGGTAAAAAAAAAAAAAAAAAATCTGAAATGTTTCAGATTTTAAATTACGTCCAAAGGGGCGTTTTTTAACATTTTGTGTGTTACCTTTCTTTATTAAATATCATGTTCCTCGCACTTAAACCATAAGATTCAGTGCAACAGCAATATCGCAAAAATAGTTTTAAAACGAGCATATCTTTAGAATTTCCGATACAGAGACTCACGCGCTGGAGATAAAAATGTTTTTTCTGCACAACGTTGCCATTGCTCGCTTTGAAATCCTTGAGTTTGTTAATCAAAAATTCGTCAAAGTTTTAAAAAATAGGAAATCGATCATAAAACGAATTTCAAATTTCAAATTTGGTTTTCCACATGCTCATATTCGTTGGAGGATGACGTTATTCAAAATTCGATGACTCTATGTACCGTTGTTTTATCACAATGCGAGAAATATACATAAATTTATGCAGATTTTTCATTATTTAATTTCTTCAAATATAATGCAGGACTCTAACATTTTGTGGCAACAGTTTGAAAAGTGAACCGACATTTATGAGTCCGACGCAAAATGCCAAAACGAAACTAATAGTCCTTCGGGATTCAAATCCCTTTGGACTAATAATTCATATTGTAAACAACAGCTAATTAAAAACAATCCAAAATTCTGAATTGTTTGGTTTTGAAATTTTCTTCTGTCTGCAGTGATATTATTATATGAAAAGAATAAAATATTTCATATCTGGCAATTCTTGATAGTTAATTTGGTTAAACAATTAATTCTGGATAGTTATCTGATATGGATGATATTTCTTGTATTTATTTATGCTAAAATTCTTATTTTTCCTAGAAAGTATATTAATTCAAATCACAAATTTTGTGTAATTCATTGGAAAGTAAATTTTTGTTTTAACAACGTCTCCTAAATGTAACTTAATATACTCAGGTCTCAGAAGTCAGCCACCAGCTCCTACGTGCTTCGTGTTACCCACTCAGTATCAGGAATTCGTCAATGTGGCAGAAGCATTAGGATATACCAGCCAATGGATTCTGAAGCCTTTAACGGCCGTCACAGGACCACGACTTGTCGATGTCTTCTCTCCCGTTGGTCAGGCTGAAATTGATGAGTAAGTAAATACACAACTTTCTAAATAATCCCCGTCAGCACTATTCGAAAATTGCTGGCAGATACATTGTATTTCATCCTTATATCTTGTGGTCATTAGTTAAATATAGTGGTAATAAAGGAATCATTTAAAAAGAATTTTCCAAATGAATATCATTTCCTGCTAATTTATTTCGAACACACTCGAGCTGTTCTTCTGAATTAGAGGAGCAAGTATTAAAATACTCGCTGCTACAACAACAGCTAACTAGAAACAATCCAAATTGCAATTCGATTGCTTTTATCTTTGTTTTTATCTTTGAACGAACGCAGTCCTGTGAATGTAAACTCAGTTCATGAATAAAACCGATTTTAAACATTTTAGCAATTTTTTTTTAATGTTAGTTGTTTTTGAAGCTAGATTTTGTTTTCCATTGAGTTGTAATTCGGTAAATTTCCAAACATTATTCGTCCAAGGATGAAACTTTAGTTATACTCAACAGTAGCTTAACTATTGTTAATCATGATTTTTTTATAATAATAAAAATAATAACTGCAGCAGGACCCTGCTCAAGCTATTTATCAGCTTTCTATTTAAATGAAGATCTTAAACCAACAGTGTAGTTTATTAAGTGCGAAACAAAATTTTATAAAACAAAATCTTTAAGCTGACAAATTTCATTAAAAATGTCTTAAGCTTTTTCCTTGTTATAATTTTTTTTGTGGGGTGAGAAGGGGTAAGTGATTTTACACTAAATAGTTCGACTAGCTGCCTGACCTATTTTGCCGTATCATTCATTAAGAATAGTACTAATTATCTTAAAAGTAAACTATTGTTAGAAACAGTGACAAGAACGATTATGCATGTTCAACGTTGAAAACAGGAATTATTTACGCACAGTGTTATTAAAATATTAAATAAAAAAGTTAGATATACAGAGGAATATATATTAATGAGTTATATTTTTCCTTTGTAAAACTTAGTTTTTAATACCAGTAGTTGACTGTTTTATTTTTACTTTATTATCTTGTTTTTAATGTTATATCCGCCGCGTTGGTCCACCAGTGGCCACCTACTTAAGACGATTGAATATTGGAAGTTCCATCCGGATTCGAGTCCAGCGAACGTATGGTTTTCCCCAAACATAATATGAATGCAAATTAATTTCCTTCAAAAGTTTCCTGGTGAAGATAATCCTCGGCAGATAATCCTCATACACTTTACTTTGCTTCAGTTATGTTCTGTATTAATTTGTTTATTATGCTTCTTTTTTAATTTTTTCTCTTTATACAGAGTGTGGGCAGAAAAACTGCGGTTTCTGAAATAAAATAACTTTATATACAAAAAAAATTCATTTTTATTCCTATTATAGCTTTACAGTTTAAAGTACGTCATTACTGAAAACTAATCATAATAATAATAATTTTAACAATATTTTGCTCAAAATTACATCTTTTAAATATTGTCCTCCTTCGTCCACATACTATATTGGAGTCGAGCTGCGAAACTTCGCTATTTCTTGAGCGTGCAACTACACTCACAACGGGTTACATTGGGGTGTGATGTGTCAAAGTTTAGTCTGATTGGCCAGTATTTCCTTGATTAACATAACCAGACAGTGCAAAACTTCCTTTCTCCACAAGTTCGCAGATGATACATAAACCGAATCAACTTCTGTGGTTTCAACGAGAAGGGACAATCAACAAGATGGAACAACTACTCTCACAGCAACGGATTCGACAGAAGTATTGAGGAATAGTTCTCGAAACATTTATTTTCCGGACTGGCGATACTGAATAGCCATCTCTATCGCTTCGTTTTTGGCTTGCTACTTCTTCCAATGCTCGAAAGTGTAATCGACTAACTGCGTTACTTACGTAAATTGCCATCATTTAAAGTGAGATAGATGTCATATCGAGAGATGTATGATCAGCTATAGCTATGTTGTGGACTGAGGATGACGACATATGAAATATATAATTTTTATAACTTAATATTAGCATAACTTTTATTTTTACATTTTTTTCAATAATGGCATACATTAAATTGTAAAGATACAGCATAAATAAAAATCTTTTTTTTTTTTTTTTTTTTTTTTTTTTTTTTTCATTAACTGCGTTATTTTATTTTCAAAATCTGCAGATATTTCTCCTTACCCTGTAAATCAAATTTATTGTTTTTTATATTTCCTGTTCTTACCTTGATATTTATGTAAAATATTCACAACCCAATTTTATATTTCTATTTCATTTATTTGCTCTCTTTTTTTATTTCAGGTTCAGTAGACGTCGAGCTGTTGCGCAAGAACTTGTCAGCAATCCGTTTAACGTTTTTGGCCAGCCAGTCAGTATCAGGTTATACGTCTTAGTGACGTCGATGCTTCCACTTCGTGCGTATGTTCATTCTCAAGGCATTGTTTATCATCGATACAATGAGAGCAAGAACTTCAAAAAGGTAAAAACAGTTTTGACAGTTCTGTTGTCTCTGCGTATAATGAGATGTAAATCACCTAACAATATTATACTGTCACGAGACTCAAAGTCGAACATATTACGTTATCATGTCACGAAGAAAATGATCCGCTATGTAAACAGGGTTGTATTAGTACTGGAAAATAAACAAAGACAACATATTTGCCCCAGTTCTAATCAATGAATTTAATTTTTCTTAAATCTAATACGTATTCGACGATTCAACAAGGATTTCTTCGCATTTTCATCTGCAGAATGTACTTTTACTTTAGAATATGCACTCGATGTAGTGAGACATCGAAATATATAATAAAGGAGGATGAAAATTTAGGCAATGAGAATATATATTCATCCAAGAGAACAAAATTCTATATTTTAGACAAAAAGCTTTCAAAAGGAATAGCAGAAGAAATCACCAAGGCCCAGCCTCAGTTATACGTCATTAACATAATCAGCAGAATATGATTGTGTTGATTATGTTTGTCTACAATCAATTCATTCTGTTGTCTGCACATTTATGTTGCATTTACTATTTGTACAATTATTTATGGTCTTCATGTATAGTAGTTTACCGCAATTAAATATTGGATCAATTTTAGATTACATTATTGTTTTTAACATGGTGTTGTATGGAATAAATAATCTGAAAGCGAAATAATAGTCTGAATCTAGAACTTAAATCAAATCATTTGTGAGCCAACAGGCAACCGACCAGTAAAATCGCTGAATACCGAAATACCCAGACGTATATACTCGTGTATAAGTCGATACCGCGTATAAGTCGACCCCCCCCCACTTCGACATAAAAAACTCGTAGAAAATAAGAAACCCGCGTATAAGTCGACCCCCCACTTCCGAAATCGATCGAGAAACTTCGAAAAATTTTTTTTAAGTACTACATTTATTCAAAATCATCTGAGGAAAAAAAAGTAAATATACGATAAAAAATACCTTTGGTAAATAAACAAAATCAAAATCCTTCAACGTCCAATTCATGGTCAGATTCGCCAAACATTTCATAGAACTTTTCTGTCGTCATTGTCATCATACATGTTTTCAGTCTCGAACTCTGTATTGTTACAATTCACCTTCGTAGCCTTCGTCGTCATTTTCACTTTCAAAAACAGCATCATCTTCCGTGCCGTCTAGTTCGTTGCTAATACAACATTTTTTAAATGATTTTATAATCATTTCAGAGGGTATTTCGTTCCAAGCACGTTTAACCCACTGAGCAAATTAATGTAATATCGGGCTTTTTAATGTTGCCTCCCTTTGTAAATGTTGTCGACCGAACTAATCACTCGCCCAATATTTTCTAACATTTACTTTGAAGGCTTATTGAGGCAGACATCTAGGGTTGGATGACGGATGTTAATAATTACGGCCACAGTCGTTTTTAGTGTTTTTGTCACTTTTGTTACTTCTTCAGAAAAGTGTCCACGAAAAGATCGTATACTAAAAGCGAAGGTTCGGGGCCGAACATTCTTGGTTTAATCGAAACGTCTCTAGTTAAATATGAAACTCTGTGATTAGTTCGTCACATAATTTAAGTCATGAAATTACTTCAAGTAAGTGGCTTATTGAGAAGTCGTCCATTTGAGCGCGGGAAGAAAACACTGCATTATATAAAGAATTTTTGAACTTCCGATTCTTTTAATTTTTTATGGCCCAGCGTACAAGTCGACCCCCCCCTACTTTGAAATCTTTTTTTGTCCAAAATATCTCGACTTATACGCGGGTATATACGGTAAGTCACCAACATATATCGAAAATTGTTGTCAAGGCTGCCGGCAGTCCTTATCAGCTACTTCATTTCTTTTCAAACTGTTAACATTTTTAAAAATTGTTAACATTTTTTAGAAAAAAAGACATCTAATAGAAATAACACAAGGCCAAAGTTCTTCTCATGATGAATGGACTAAAAGTGGCCATTGTTAAGGCACCCAGACGTTTGCGACATACCTTGGCGATTTATAGGTAATCTTGGCAAATACGTAATGGGCCCGTGATAATAAGGAAATATCCATGGATCCGCCTCAAGGAAATAGCCCTCACTTACATTGCTGTAATAAAAATCAGCTTTAAAATTAAAAATTATGTAAAATCTATTGCTTTTAACATTTGGTTGCTCGCATCTTATGTGAGAGATATGATTCATACTACATGTGTAGACATTAGCTTATTTTTTGAAAGCAGGAGATGTGAAAAATGAGCAGTGCTCTCGCCGGGATTCGAACCACGGACTGTGCAAATACGCGCCAAGCGTGCAGACCACTACACCACGAAGGCACGCTAAGAAGGCGGGAGAAATACCTTATATACTTCCCCGTTTAAGAGGCGACTGGAGATTAGGGGGCCCAATGTCTAAATCCTGGTGGCGGAGAATCGTCATCCACCACCTTTTTTAGTTCGAGCGCCACTGTAGCGACATTAGGTTATTTCGAAGCAGAAGATGTGAAAAATGAGCAATGCCTTCGCCGGGAAATCGAACCACGGACCTCTCGGATACGCGCCGAGCGTGCAGACCACTACACTACGAAGGAACGCTAAGGAGGCGGGAGAAATACCTTACACATTCACTTTTACGTCTCTGTATACTTATCTCCGTTTCGTTTGCCTAAGTTTTTAAATAAATGTTAAGGGTCTTACGGCGCTTCAGACAACTTAATTTCCACCTTCACTAGATAAAGGCACACGTCTGAAATCAAGGGAATGAGCTAGCGGACTCAATGGCAAAGGAGGCAGCTCGCAACATCTGCCCCTACCAACTGTGAGATTATTCTCACCTCAAAAGATTCGTCAATAGTTTAGGTAAAGCAAAATGACAAGTCGAATGGGAGCATACACCGGAAAGCTGACGCTTCTATCTTTCCTTTTCCAAAGTCAGCTACAAACGATGTAGTTCCCTGCTCAGCTAATACGCTATATTACAAACCATAGCCCTTTTTCAGTCTGTTTTCAGCCAGCACAAGGGCTTGGATCTGTGTGATGTTACCTAATTTCTCCTTTGCGTAGTACTTTTGTGCTCTTTACTGTAAATGTTTACAATGTCGGAATATTTTGTCAGAATGCAAATAAGAATATTATTATTTTAGTCTTGAAAAAAATGTTAATACGTTAATACCGAATTTGTACGGAAATCGGTGAAGTGTTTGCAAGTGATAGTTACTTCATAAAAGCTCTAGTTTAAGAAATCATAAAACAATTTAACAAATTAACTCCTAACATCTGAAAATACATAACATTTGGCAATCAACTAAATATTATAAGCCTAGAATTTATAAATAACCGCTTTCAGTCTTTAGTAGCTTAGTTTTCGTTAATACTTTGGTTATTATTATTATTATTATTATTATTATTATTTGTCATCAAGAAATTGGCAATTAAATAGCAACGAGGCTGTCCGATGGCACGATTTGTAACAATAACTAAATTTAATGCAAGTCACTTCAATTAATTAGTAGCAGTGGCTGATGCGCAGGGTTAATGTTGTATATCAACATCCCACTATAATTGGCTAAGAACTTATAACACTTCACAAGCAGTATCTTAGAATACTATTTTTCATTGTCCATGAGATTTCGTTTGTAACTTAAGGGGGCTCATACATCTTTAAACCCCTTATGATCTTCGAATATGTGGCTGTTGCGAGAACTGGGATATTTTATTTATTATAAAAGCCATTACATCCAACATTTTACAGCTGACTGCATAACATAGCTGCTTTGAGAACTAGTAACCAGAAAGTTTGTGTTGCCACAAATATTTTTGTAATTTAATCCGCTTTGTAAGAAAATGTTTCGTCATGTTTCCACCTTGCGCTCATGATATTTTAAAAATGGCTAATGGTACATGCACTGGTGTGCAAAAATTAAGGACGAAGTCGAAAAATTAGCATATCAGCTGAACGAAGAGGCAGAGCGGACAGAAAGACCAATCAGGAGATTAAGTAACGTGATGTACGGTAGCACATGCGCAGATATGCAGGTAGACGTAATGGGGGAGTGTCTGAGTAGTATAAAGCATGTTGTCGGTGTAAGATCAGTATTTCTGGCAAAGAGATTGCACGACAAAATCACATCGAGTTGCTGCCTCAGCGAGTAATGGCGAATAATCAATCTGTTGGACGACATCTGGATGCTTTTACCCGAGGTCGAATCATTGGGAAGTTGGAGGAAGACCGCAGTGTGACAAGTGGGGCTGCAGAGTTCGGAATTGCTCACAGCATCGTTTCACGACTTTGGAGACAATTTCAAACTACAGGAACAGCTATCCGGGGGTTTAGTAGGGGTCGTCCACGAGGAACCACACCCGCAGATGACCGGTATATTGCCTTACAGGCCAGAAGAAACAGGCAGCAGACAGCGGGAGAAATCGCTAGACACGACACAGGCGACTGGACGACCGATATCGCGTTTTACCTTGGCCAGAAGACTGCACGGTGGTGGTCTGTTTGCACGACGCCCTGTACGGTGTGTACCTCTAACGCCTGCCCATCGGAGAAAGCGTTCTCTGTGCTGCCGGGAACACCGGAATTGGAAAGACAATGAATGGGGACGAGTACTCTTTACAGACGAGAGAAGATTCAGTCTGAGTAGCGATTCTCATCGCATACTCATCTGGAGAGAGCGGGGAAGCCGCAATCATCCCTCGAACATCATTGAAAGGGACAGTATGGAGGTGGCGGTGTTTCTCGTTTGGGGAGGCATCATGCTTGGTAGTCTTACAGACCTTCACATCTTCGACGCAGATTCCAGATTCAGTCAACGGGACCCGTTATTGTAACGAGATTCTTCTTCCATATGTGCGTCTTTTTAGAGGCGCTATGGGTCTGCAGTTCCTTTTCATGGACGACAATGCACCATGTCATCGCACAGTAGCTGCCGAACAGTTCTTAGAGAGTGAGGATATTGAACGTATGGATTGGCCGGCACGATCTCCGGATCTCAATCCCATCGAGCATGTATGGGATTTTCTAGGCAG